CAGCGAGGACGACGGCGGAAGAGATGATGCGCGATGGGAGAGTAATGCAGCGTGACGTGGCAAGGACGATGGCGGCCTGCGTGAAGGAGGCGGCGTGAGCGGCGTAAGATTTAATTGCGCGCGATGGCGGCGCGGACGATTTACCGGAAGCAGGCGGCAAGGAGAACTCGCGCGATTTTTTTTTTAATTTTAACACTTTTTCAAAACTAATTTTAAATCTAACACTCGGTTTTTAATTAACACTTTTGGCAGCGCCTATTTCCTGGCGGCGGCCAAATACTATGCCGCGCCATGCATGGTGGCGGCAGAGGCTGATGTGGTGGCACCGAAGGCACCGATCACGACGGGAGGGCTCGGCGCGCCACCGATTTTAAGGCGGCAAGATTGCTACGCCGATTCATGCAGCAGAGCCGGTATATCTTCCGCCGGCCATGGCGATCCCTGGCGCCTGAAAGCAAACAAAAGCGGCCTAGGCGTCGCCTCCCGCTTCGCCGCGTCTGTCGCCACACGCCAATGTGCCATTTAAGCGGCAGCCCGGCCCTCCATTGCCGCCTCTCTCCCTTCCCTTCCATTCCCCGGCCAACTCCCTCCCTCCTCGTCCTAGTCCAAGGTAATGACGCACATTTTATTTTCGTTTGAATAATGGATATGATATTATGTTTAGTAGGAAAATTATGTTTGGAACTATGGTGAACATATTAGTTTGATTTTGTCAATGTTAAGGTTAATTATTTAGTTGGTACTGGTAATGGCATAGTAGTATTGCCATGGCATCAGTCGTTGTTGCCATAGCATCTGTACCTCCTTGGTCATCATCGGAATCATCTGAATCACTGCTAACCACATCACCGATCCTGTCCTCCTGCTCCTGCTCCTCCTCTTCCTGTTCGAACTCATTCACATCGAAGTTATTGCTTATACAGCCTACTGCAGTTGAATGAACTGCTCCTGCGTCAACTGACCGTCCAAATCCATGTTATTCTGAGTTGCTTTCTCTTCGACCCCTAATTCTTTTTCATTGCCTCCAAATCCATCAATGGACGACCCGTCCTTAACACCATGCATCTTGTACCCATTCTCCACCACCACCTCAGTCATGGGCATATTGGAACCTTGGAAAACCCCAGTGTAGCGAGACCATTGAGCAGGGTCGCGCAAGGGCATGAGGACATAGTATGCCCTAGTCTTCTCAGTATCAAACCTACCCTTTAGTGTAAAATCACCGTCAAATTTTATATTCAAACGGACACAAAGGTCGTTGAAGCTAGGAGGTTCATCAAACCATTCTAATTCTTCTTCCATATCCTTAAACATATCATCCTCTCTTCTAACACTTCCTCCGTACAAACTCTAACACAACAATCCATCTGCAAAAGCATTTCAAGAAACTTCATTAAGTCGTCGAAATCATCGTACCTAATATCCATACTAATATTAATATATTTTCTAACTATAACTATACAAACTAATCAAATATTAACATTTATACAAGGCATACTATAACTGCATTTAACTAAACTACCTATACTAACTTATTATATTACGTATACTAACTAACTTTACTAACTATATTAACTATACTTTAATAATTTTACTAATCTGTGCTAACTATATTAGTAGAGTACCTCGTTGCAGCAAGGCAAGATCTGGTCGGAGGCCTTGGCGCAGCGCACAGCCCGCTTGTGGCGTGGAAGGTTTTGCTGGAAGGGGAGGCGCGCACCCGTATCGTGGCATGGTTTGGTTGCTATGGTGGCACGGTGGCATGGGGCCGGGCGGACGTTACCGGGCTTTGTCTGGCTTGGCTTGGTCAAGGCAGTGTATGGCGCACGCGACCTGTGGCAATGAAGTGTGGTTGTGGCGGCGCGCGTATGCGCAAGTGGCTGCTTTCTTCTGGGCTTTCGCCGGAGAACGGCGATCGCTTTCCACGCTGGCGGGGCGGAAGATATACCCGGCTCTGCCGCAGCGCCACCGATCTTTTGCGCGCTTATGGATCGGGGAGCAGACCGCCGCGCCAAGATCGGTGGCGCTGGCGAGCCTGCCCGTGACGGCGGTCACGCTTCGTCGCCGCCACGACTCCTGCCGCGTCACCATACCACATGACGACAAGCATTAGCATTTGGTCGCGCCAAGGAAATAGGCGCGCCAAAAGTGTTAGTTTTAAAAACCGAGAATGTTAGATTTAAAATTAGTTTCAAAAAAGTGTTAAAATAAAAAAACGCGATTGCGGCCACTAAGCTAGGCGGGGTGCGGTTGGCGGGCGAGAGTGCGGGCTAGCGACAGGCGCATCATTGCGACGCTGGATGGTCGAATTTACGGGAGCTCGGTGGTGGCGGGCCCCATAAACCACGGGAGCCGCATAAGCACTCGGGGTTGGATCTTGCGAACAAGCTTCATTCTCTCTTTTTTTCCTTTTCTTTTCTTTCTCTCTTACACGTAAGATTTTATGAAGTTAGTTTAGCTATAAGAAATTGAGGTGTATTATTGTACTTGCTATAAGAGCCAAGCTCTTCTCTTTGTTCTCTATACTCTCCTCCATCATTATTGTACTATACTTACTCGTGCACGTTCAGTAGCTCTAAGCTAGTATTAGATATCAGGAAGAAAAGAAAGAAAAAAAAAAAAACTTTGAGCTGACATGAGGAGAAGAGCTAAATTTTCTGCGCTCCCCAATACATGAGACATAATTTCTCTATCTTATCTTAAAATGCGAGAAATATATATAAATAAAAACACCTTATGTTTGGAATATATAGGATGAGATGAGAGATGACACCTACGTCTGTATCTAACTCGTTCCATTGGAGATGACTTTACAAGCTCCTAGTTTAATTGTTGAAATGTTTAGAAGGTTCGACTTTCCAAATAGACACGGAACCGGTGGCACAGCAACCGATACGGTGGATTTGGTTGCCATGGTCGTAGTGGTAGCAAGCAACCGCATCCTGAACGCAGCATTGATGCAAAAGTTTTTTGAAATTTTGTCGAATATTTTATTCTTGCAAAGTTGCAATGCTTGATTTTTTTAAGAAAAAGCAAAAACAAGAGCTTTTTCGAGCATATATTAATAGAAAATGAGCAACTTACAGCAATTCGTTACTGGGGACGTGGCGCGTATGTACATTATTTATATCTAGTTTCCATTTCTGACAGTCCTTTTCATCTTGCAAGAAATAATATCAGATAATTTCAGAACAAGAACAATGCAGAAAGCCAGTAGTAGTCGGCTAATTGCTTTATGCTATTTGACATCTTCAGCAGCAGCTAAAGTGGCCTTTGACTTCCAGTTTGAGCTGCAATCCATCTGCCGATTCACAATTCACAATTCAGAACTGATTTGCGGCGTTAGTAGTACGCCTGACATCATTACAGGAACAGATAATCCCACTAAACTAATTGCCCCTTTTTTCATATTGCCAGCATAGTTGTCAACGCGAGAATAATGTGCAAAGATCCGAATATGCGAATCTTGCCAGTGATTTGTGTTGTTATATATTCATGGAGTTGTCTAAGCTTTGTTCCCAGCTACTATAATTTAGTTAACAGCTGGTGTGTCACAACTCACAATTTAATTCTAGCGATCTTCTCCCGTTGTAGTAGATGGTATGATATGCTGCGGTCCTTATCGTTTGCCAATTTAGAGATTGTTTACTCCTTTCCTTCTGAACTTTCAGTACCTCTGACTCTGAGAGGAAGGAATGAAGGATGGCGTCTTGATTCATGTTATCTGTTTATTTACATTCCATAGCTGTCCACGGCATGAAGCAACGCAAGAGCTGCACGTCGTCAGTCTATCAAGCATCATGCTTTGATGGGGTTCGCTTTGTAATATAAGCTGGATTTTATGGATTAGCTGTCAACCGTATTAATTTCAAATGAGTTGACATTTTTAGTTTATGAAGCAGACTTATGCATTAGGAATTAGGTGTATTTTATACGGAGTACTCCGTACATCACATCTTCTGTTTGTCTAACTGACCCTCGGCACTAGTTCTATCCAAATTTAGCACCCAACTATCATAGCCGTTTGATTTTGACCCATCGACCATTTTTAGGTGATTTTTAAGGTGATGCGGCAGCAGCTTTTCCTTTAAGTAGGCGTTTTCCTTTTTTGTCAGCTAAGGCCATCAGAAGAGAGAATTCAAGGTGGCAAAATAAAGTTAGGCTGTGTTTAGTTCGTGAATTTTGGAAATTTGGCTACTGTAGCACTTTCGTTTTTATTTGACAATTAGTGTTCACTCATGGACTAATTAGGCTCAAATCGTTCGTCTCGCAATTTCCAACCAAACTGTGCAATTAGTTTTTTTTCGTCTTCATTTAATGCTCCATGCACGTATCGCAAGATTCGATGTGACGGCTACTGTAGCACTTTTTAGGAACTAAACAAGCCGTTAACTTGAAGACAAACCGTTGCCAAATAACTCGAAAACCTCCAAAATGGGTTCATGATAAAAAAATAATAATAATTAAAAGGTATTGAGAGTATCATATTTAGACGGTGAACCTCAGGATCTGAATTATAGAATCACAAATTTTGTCAGACTACCTCATGCAGTTAACCTAAAGCAAAATAGACCAGATTTTATTCTTCCTCGTCTTGAGGACTTGCTACTATTGTTTGCAACAGCAAACAGATCAGTCTTCAACCTATTAAGACATTCCATGCGCCGATCAATTACTCTGAGACGGAACAAACTGCAATCTTATTTCTCAATATTATCTATGGACCTGTCAAAATTTTACAGTACCTAATGAGCACGCCCAGCTCTAGGCAACTTGAGAGACATTTAGATGCGGCATTTATTTGTTTATACAGAAATATTCTCCCTAAAAGGAGAAGGAATAGCACAGAGCAACAATGTCAACTAGATACAAAATGCACAGCTCTAGAAGGGAACTCTTCTACAGAGGACAGGACCTTCTACAGAGGACTGGACAGAGTCTGTACAGACTACAGAGTGAGAGTGGTACCGTGAAGCGCTCATTTGCAGGTTCATGACAGATCAACCAGATGGTCTCTGGTAGACATGCTTTGTTCTTGGGTCAACAATTATGCCCTTTCCACCATTCACTTCAAGATCATGCCTGCAGGATTGATTATTTGAGACGGAGTATAGTAACTAGCAGACCTCTAAGAAAAGCTAACAAGTAATAGATTGCTTACTGGAATACAAAATCAGGAATGGTTAGCTGTTCACGTGGCACATATCTGAATAGCTGCACAAGTCTGTCGACATATACAACTTTCTTCCAGACCTAATCGAAACAAAAAAAAAAAAAATACAGAAATTTCAAGCAAGGAGCAGCTCAAAGAATGTTTTTGGTTTAGCTGCACTGCAAGTACCTCCCCGTCAACAAAAAGCTGCATCACCATAACAGCTGTTCTCAATCCCAGTGTCGGGTGGAGTATATATATTGTCTGTAAAGATTTGTGCTATCAAGAATCTACATATTACAAATAGAAAACTAGAACCAGGTAATGAGGTCAAATTAGATACTCACATGAAGATTTTTTTTATGCTTCCGACCTAGTATCTGTTGCAACCGTTTCATGAATCCTAAATCAGGCTGCCTGTAAATTCAAATGAAAAAAAAAAACAGTTCCACATACCAGGGTTAAGACAAATGAGCCAAAAAAAATGATGTGGTTTCCATCCTGAATATTTATCCAACACTTACGGTTGTAATGATGCTGCAGAGTGGAAGTAGACAATTGTGTAAGGCTTCTGAATCAGAGGTTCAAACTCCTGCGAGGATGGCATATGATGATACTTTCATAATTTATTGCTCAAATGAGCCAAAAGGTATGAAGAAAATACTATTCAATGAGGAATCAAGATAGTAGGTAGCAGGGATTTTGATGAGAAATCTGAGGAATTATTTGCACAGTGCATGACAAGAACTTCATTATACAATGCTTGCACAACTCCTCCCCCCCTCTCCTCTTTTTATTAAGCCTGGTTTGAGTTTGCTTTTGTAGACCCAACCCATTCCCACCATTGGATTAAATTGCTGATATAGCTTAATTCATTATTTTGCTAATATTTTATAACCTTCAGAAAAATTTGACACCATAGGAAACCTACCATTCAAAAATAGTAAATGTATTGCAAATCATGAATGTGAACTAGTGTAGAAATTAGAAAACTTAGTTTGCTGCACAGCAACCAGCATATCCTTCACACTGGAAACTCCAGGCCAACTCACGGACAAAGAAAAAAAACAATTTATTTGACATCGGCAATTTTAATACGCATACATCAAAATATCTAGTTTACCTTCTGGTTACTTGGGCAGTGCTGCCCCATTACAAAACAACTAACATTGCCAAGAGGATTCACTTTATAATAAGAAAATAGTATAAACAAATTGCATCAAGTATTTTTGCCAAGACAAAGAACAAGAATAATAATAAGATTAGGATATTCATGTATGGGTCAAGAGAGAACAGGAATGACTGGGCAGGCTCAGCAACTACATGATTACTAAGGGCATCTGCACGATTACATATAGGAAGATAACAATTGATACTCTTCTTGTAGCAAAAGTCTAATTATGTCCAATTAGAGTTAAGATTCAATCACCTTTACTACATATAGAACAAATCGTTCAAGATCCAAGCAGCGAAGAAGAAAGTGAGCACCAACAACGACCATAACTGGACGCCCTTCACTATCAACTCCTCCACGGTAACTGTAATTGATATAGAGCATAAAAATAAAGGCAATAATACCATGAGAATATGGAAAAATGATGGATAGAGATCCTTTAGCGTCACAAATGTAAAGCAAAGCAAAAGAGAGAGAGAGAGAGAGAGAGAGAGAGAGAGAATCCACAAAAGGAAATAAAAACTGAATAAGTTTGCCTACATTATTTTCATTTCAGCAACATCTGACAGATTCATAGAATTTGCTTTAGCAAGGTATCGTGAATGAAGTGAATATTCTTCAGCAGCAGATAATGGTGGACTGCCAAGATCACCAAACCCAAGCATGTTAGCCAAGTTAAGTCCCTTGTTTGCCTGAGCAGATTTTTCCCATTGCTCCTTAATGTCGGAGATCAGGATCCTTAATTATAGACATAAAAGCAGGATCCAAATATGAGTCCAACTTGAAAGAATTCCTGTTAAGATAAACCAGATAAATTCTTAATGAACAATAACTAAACAAGTGAACACACACAGAATATCTTTTAAGGTAATCTCTGCCAGTCACCAGAACCAAGAAAAATGCATGTGCTTTCAATTTCACCTTCTACGTGTCAATCTCGAATCAGGAAGAGGGATATCTGCAAGTGTAGGAATTGGTGTTTTGCTATTTGCTGCCCCAGCAGGCAAGGGCTTTATTCTTATTTTCCTTTCACAATTACTGTCTCACCATTCTCATCCCCAACATCAGCTGGAAGCTTCAACGCTGCTATCTCTTCTTCTTGCTTGTCCCGAGGGAAATATAGTGGAAGCAACCTGAGGAATAAAACATTATCAACCTATATTGGAAATTTGTCGTGATAAACTAATAGTGGACTTCGATTGGAGAACCTCTTATATATCTCTGTGTCAGATGATGATATTGTACAGAAGACAATAGCTGTTATTTTGTCCTTTTGTTTCTCCAGGAAACGTCTCACAGTTCCTGCTCAATCTCAACCGAAGAATATAGTACATGAAAAACCAAACGTGGAGTAGGTAAATCATTGTACAAAATAAATCATGTTTCAAATCCCATCCATAGTAAAACTGTACAAAAGCAAAAGCAAATCAGCGAACTCACTTATTGCCACATGAGCAGCTGGTTCACGAGGATAATTCTTGGCTTCTGTGTAAATGCAGCCAGTAGCAATGCTAACCACATCAAAGGCAGAATAAATTACTTGCAAAAGTTGAAGAACATTCAATGTGAAACCTAGCATTAGAAATGGAATCTAAACTTCTAAATACCCCTTTTCATAATAAGTACCTTTCAAGGCCATTCTCAATGAGCAGTTCTAGACAAGACCTGTAGCAGTGGCTAAGCGCATTCTCTGCAGCTGTGTGATACTTTACAGCATATTTTGGGCCCACGGTATGGATGACCTTCCTACATAACCAGATAACTAACTTTTGAGCCTTAACAAAGAGCACTAAATTTCTGCTGTGATATGTTTAAAATAAATGATTCTCAAGGTTCAAACAAATGAATTTGATGAGTTCAAAATAGTCAGCCATAGTAAACCCATAATAGGTCTTACAGGAATAAACTTAACTACTTAAGCATATGCCATGAAGAAAATAATAGCCCTATTGTATAAAGGTCAAAGCATATAATGGTTCCTATCTTTCTCAAACAATTAATAAGAAAAAGCGTGTTCAAATTACCATCACCTCACCTAAGTTATAAGTTACAACACTATGATCGCTTATTTCACTCCTATATAGTCACCACAGATGCACCTATAATATAATATGTGCATTGCATATGCATGGTTCTTTTACAACCAAGCTACTGATCGACGTAGGGGAAAATGACACAAATTTCCCTCACTCTGTCTGCGATAAGTGTGCCTTGTGTGTTTTGTAAACAAGACTAGATCTCGCGTCAAAATTTTGGTAGACACGAATAAATCTAGCTAACCATAACAACTAAGATGTTCAGTGTCAAGTTGTAGTTGTAACTCATAAAAAACGTGCCCAAAATCCATACTATTTGAAATGAGCAATACCAGGACCTTTGTTTGTGGGGGTGGGGGCTCCTGTATCACCTAAAGGGGCTTATTCTGCGTTATAATTTCCAGAAAACAATGTTGTTGGTGAACACTACAAAACCCATCAATAGTATGCAATCTGATGCAACCTCTTAAGCCATCAGTCACTAATCAAATATACCTGGCAGGAAGATCATAAGCATTTGTCATCTTAGCCATCCCAGTGCGGCAGCCACCCTGCAAGACCATTCACAAACGAAAAGCCACCTAACAATCCCCATCTTAGCAGCCAAATTAAGAAGCAAGACCAGCATTAAACAGTACCAAGGTGGCGCACTCCTCGGCGAGCCCCGTCCCTGTAGCAGCGTGAAGCCCAGGACTGCTATGAGCTTCGTCCAAGTTCTACACAACCACACAAGTACTAGACATCAGCATCTCAATCGAAGCATTTCAGAACTAAGCAGCCGCGGAGAGGAATCCTGACCTCGTTGGTGGAATTGACGACGGCGTCGACCTCGAGGCTCCACGGGTGGCCTCGCCAGAGGTAGATCTTCGAGTTGATCTCGTGATCGACGGGGAACCGCGACGCGCCACGGCCCCGGCCCCTGGCGCGGCCGCGTCGTCCCCGGTGAGCGGGTCGGAGAAGGAGAGGAAGGACGAGGGCGGGGTCTCGGATCCGGCGGCAGTGGGCAACAGCGGGAGATGCGCTGGTCCGGGTCGCTCCAGCGCGGGACCTGGTCGAGCGTCACGGCTGGCTCCACCCGCCGAGGCCCGGCGCCATGGCGCCGCCGCCGCCGCGGCCGTCGGGGAGGCGGAGGCCGACGCGCGCCTCCGGCGAGCGGTGCTGCATGGCTGTGGCCGGATCAGAATCGCGAGGGCATGGGGATGTGTGCTGGAGGCTGGAGCGATAGAAGGAGATGCGTTCGCGCGCGAAGCGGGGAGGAGGCGGAGGTGACCGGTGTGAGCGAAAGCTCGGGGGATCGAAGCGACGGGACGGAGGAGGAGAGAGAAAGGAGATTACATAGAGGAGTAATTAAAATTTCTCAATAATTGTTGCTGTCTGCAGAAATTGTAGAGGCAAGACGAGAATGGTTGTAGGAGAATACCCACTGTCGACTGATATGTGGGCCTAACGTATGGGTAGGGTTAGTCTTTTAGAAGTGGGTACGCGTCGTTGAGTACATTTGAGTTTATATTGCTGATGATGCCGCCAGTGCTAGCTGGATTCGAATAGGTTCTGTTCTGTTTTGTGTGTTCCACATGCTCGCCAATGTTTTGAGGCTTGCTGAGATGGATTTTTATTGTCACCTGTTGAAATCGACTTATCGGTGTGTCAATGTCCATTTTGTAAAATACAAATTTAACTTATTGCAACCATATATTTGTAAAAAAAAAACATACTTCTATCGTCGCTTAAAATGGTGAGTCGGCGATATTTAGATTTTGCCAATTCAAATGGCAAAATTCCTGGCCGCTGGTTCAAGTGGTGAAAATTTTCTTTTACCTTAAAAATCATAAGATTTATATGAACATTATAGATTGATGAATATACAGCTTTATAGTTTATAGATTTTTTATTTGTATAGAAAAGTTTTACAAATTTTATATAAATTGTTTCTCCATTAGATCCTGTAACTTTTCTTGTGTGAAAAAGCTCTACAAACATCATATTATATATAACTTTATTTATCTTCATCCATCCAGGCTCATATAAAATATATTTGTTTTTTTGGATATTTGTTGTGCTAGCTAGTGGATAAATGGATGGCTTGATTCACTTCCTCGTAGCATATCTAAAGATTTTATTTTTCATATGACATGGTATGAAGATAGATTTTATATGAAAGTTGCAGGACTAAATGTTGTAGCTCACTTTTTTATTTGAAGACCTCTTTATGCCAAAAGTTGTAGCTACAAGGATATTGGTGGAATTTACCCTTTTTGAACACTGTAACCTAAGAAGATTATAACTTCATAGCTTGCAAATTTTTCATCTGAACTACAAACATTAAGGAGCATTTGGAGGGGGCTCCGGGCTCTGCACTGTTGTACTACTATGACGGAGCCGCTGGAGCACCCTAAGCTTGGCTCCTCCGGCTCTCTCTCTAGTGGCAAGCAAAGCTAGAGCGCCTAAAGTGCAACGAACAGTGAAGCACAGGAGTGCACAGTAGCAGTGCAGGCGGAGCCGGACCGTGTAGAGCGTAGCCAAACGATACCTAAATTCATATGGAAATTATGGAACTTAACGAGATCAGTAACTTATAAGAAAACGTTTTATGAAAACATTTTATGCTGAAATTTATTCTTGAATGCCATCACGTACCATAATATTTTGCTTCTTTGTGAATGCATCTTGATGTCAATATTTAAACTCCATCCATTTAATTGGAGGTAGAGTAATCTATAATTTGTACTATCATTTTAGAAGAGACTACTTTTAGAAAAAAAATTAATCAATTTGAATTGTTGTTAAGCCGTCCCAACTGCAACGTGGTCTATACATATACATGGTATTGAACCAAGTATGATCCGTGCTCAAGTAAGCAAGCAACCTATCTCTTCCCCCTCCAAAAAACAAGCGACTCACCGTATGGGATGTGATGACCACATACATGCATGTGTTTTATTAAGCCCAATGTCAAGCCCTCATGTTTAATAGAGGGGAAGCGACAATCTTGATATTGTTCACGTTTACACAAGCAACAACTCACACGCCTAGGTTTGATTGGTATGTATCTAAAGGATTGTTATGTTGCTAGTGGTCGAACTCTCGTAAGCTCCATAACTATTTGTGGTTATAAAGATTGACCATGTATAACTAAAGAAGTGTCACAAAATAGTATGGATTTAAGATATCCCGCGACAAGTCGTATGCGATTAGGAACCGTAGCGACTCTTCTTCTTCCCTTGCCCGGCGTGACACCCATCTCTCCTCCCATCACATTTGGCACCCGCCTCCTGCCCCCCACCCACCTCCAACCATCGCCCTCGGCCCCCCTCCTCTAACCACAGGGGTGTTGGCGACTACTCCGTGCGCGACGCCCCCGTGTCAACCCCGCCCAACCACCATCTCCCCATCAGCAATGGGCGACGCCCCGCCACCTCGCTCCGCCAAGTTGTCTTGTTCGGCACCACCGCCGGTGTTGTAATAATGCCCCTCCAAACCCTCTTATACACCCGTTAGGGAATGAATCCCCTCTCGGAACCCTAACCCCGACCTCGAACGACTCATCTTCTTCCCTTCCGGCGGGGTGCGCGAGCACACGAATGCTCGACTCATCGCGTGTTTGAGTTTGCGAAATAGAATACATGTGGCACGCGGTAGCATTCAATGATATACGGTGGATAAACCATCGTTTCACTACCCCACCTCATTTGTGATTATATTTCGCAAACACAACCTTAAATTCACGCTAGCAAAGGTAATCATGCCAAAAAAAAATCACACCTTTTCAAGATCCAAAACCTCGTACTTGCTCTTGGCTTAGCAGTGTACCGTCGTCGTCACACAGTAGAATAACATCGGAGAATGACGGAACTTCGTAGGAGGAGGCGTCATCTGACACGAACCGGCGCGGACGCGCGGTCTTTTCGTAAGGAGGAAGACGGTTGTCCTTTGACATGTCAAACTACTCCGTACTCCTAGAAAGGAAGACGGTTTGCCGGGCGAGCAGCGCAACCAAACGGCAGCAGCAACCGCCTGTGGGCTGTGCACAGTGCACTGGGACGCGTTCCCCTCCCACGTGCCGCCGACCACGCCTCCGTGCCGGGTAACCGCCTACTCCACACCGCGCGCATCGGCCCCCACGGCGATTCTCACGCCCACACACATCCCACCGTCTCCGCAGGCAATCCAGCACGCCCAGCCCACAGTTCCGTCCCCTACCATCCCCTCCTCAAACCCCCAAATGCTCCTCCACACCTCCGCTTCCCGTCGCCGGCTCCCAAAACCCTAGAGCGCCGATGTCGCCTCCGCCGGCGGTGGCGACGGGCGGTTCCGGAGAACCCACGGTGCCGGCGTGGCTCCGCGGCCTCCCGCGCGCCCCGGAGTACCGCCCCACGGAGTCGGAGTTCGCCGACCCCATCGCCTTCCTCTCCCGCGTGGAGCGCGAGGCCGCAGTCTACGGCATCTGCAAGGTCATCCCGCCCTACCCGCGCCCCTCCCGCCGCTTCGTCTTCGCGCACCTCAACCGCTCCCTTGTCTCCTCCTCTGAAGCCGCCGCCAACCCCACCACTGCCTCCTTCTCCTCCACCACTGGTCCCTCGCTGTCGGAACCCGCCGCTGTGTTCACGACCCGTCACCAGGAGCTTGGCACGCCGCGGCGTGGGCGCCCGCCTCCGCAGGTGCTCAAGCAGGTGTGGCAGAGCGGCGAGCAGTACACGCTCGACCAGTTTGAGGCCAAGTCCCGCGCCTTCTCCAAGATCCACCTCGCTGGGCTTCGCGAGCCAACTCCACTAGAGGTGGAATCCCTCTTCTGGAAGGCGTCGGCAGACCGGCCTATCTATATCGAGTATGCGAATGACGTTCCGGGCTCTGGCTTTGCCGCCTAAAGCAGTCCCGGCGGCACAAGAAGCGGAGCCGAGAGAGCGATCAGGTGGAAGAGGGGAGAAAGGTTCTGGTGGCGGCTGTCTGGAGGCCCATGGAATCTCCAGGCGATTGCGCTGGCTTCTGGTTCGCTTCACGCCGATTCATGCCAGATGATGTTCCTGGGGTTACCTCGCCAATGGTGTACATCGGGATGCTCTTTAGTTGGTTTGCATGGCATGTAGAAGATCATGAGTTGCACAGTCTCAACTTCCTTCACACCGGTGCACCCAAGACATGGTATGCAGTCCCTGGGGACCGAGCCTCAGAGCTAGAGGAAGTTATCCGTGTGCATGGATATGGAGGAAACCCTGACCGCCTTGGTATTTGTCGTTTTCTCATGTTTGTCATCTGCATGTTTCGGTTCCGGTTTAGCAGGTTCAATAAATTCCAACTGTTAATCCATGCAGCATCGCTAGCAGTGCTTGGGGAGAAGACAACATTGATGTCCCCAGATGTTCTTGTAGCCCGTGGTGTGCCCTGCTGTAGGTACAAGCTCTGAAATGGCCAGTGTTTCCATTGGGTCAAATGTTTATGATATTAAGACATCAGATTCTTATGAAATTCTTTGCTGATGTGTACTGTTTCAGATTAGTACAATATCCTGGAGAGTTTGTGGTAACATTCCCAAGGGCCTACCACATTGGGTTTAGTCATGGTTAGTTATGCCATTGAACTCATGATGCCTTTTTGGCATGACTTTATTGAATTGATTATGATATGCTATTTGCTAACTATGTTTGTTCCAGCTTTGCTAGATTTTCACTTTTATGGTATGAGCAGTATTGAGAAACTATTTGGAAAACACAATAATGATGGTTTCATGGACAATCCTTAACGGATCAGTGCTCCCCTGCCCCCTCACCAGTCATATAACAAACTGAGGGTGCTTGAGATGATATGTATAATAACGATCAATTTGATGTTACTGGTCTTCTCCTCGCTGAAGCTAGATTGCTTGTTTTGCCTTTTGACAGAATAGTTCTCATGTGCAATTAAGGATAGTCTGAAATACCGCTTTAATGTTTCAATAATGATTAATGGCTGACTGTACCCTTGTTGCCTGTTATTACATTCATAGTTTTTCCTAATAGATATCCTTTCCACTTGAGGGCTTCATTTATATACAAGACTAAACAAGCATACAAACAAATAATTTGTTTTGTTGAACTAGATTTGACTATCTACATGTTTGCACAAGCATCGTCTGGTGTTCAGGACATGCGTTACTTTATTTATTTTTTGGCCTGTCCATTTGACTAATAGTTCTTATTGTCTGGACCCATACAATGTAGGATTTAATTGTGGTGAAGCCGCCAACTTTGCAACTCCGCAATGGTTAAAATTTGCTAAAGAGGCTGCTGTACGAAGGGCTGTGATGAATTATCTTCCGATGCTCTCTCATCAGCAGCTTCTGTACTTGCTAGCAGTTTCTTTTATAACCAGGTAAGCTTTCAGGCAAAAGTACTTGCTAACAAAATAGCAAGTTCGTGACATGGTGACTGGTGGAGCTAGTTGCTATAGGATTAGATTATTTGTTATGTCTGGCTTATGTGCTTTGTTTTGTACATGTTGAAGGCATGGGGTGCCTGAATGTAGTTTACAATCACAGCAGCCTTCAGTGAATTACAGTATGAGCTGCTAGTCCGTGTAATATGATTCAATTTACAGTATCAATGAGCTCCAGCAAACACACACACACCACTATATAGTTAGTGCTTTAAGATGGCCTGTGTAATTGTGTATTGAATAATATTTGCTCTTAAATTTGTTTTGGTTCAGAATGATTCTTTTGGGCATTTATCAGTCATTCCCTATGAAGAAATATTTGGACCTCCATTGTTTGTTAACATCAACAGAAAAACCAGGATTGAAGATATTATGAATTAGGGAAAAAAGAGAATTAGGAAACAGGGAAGCCACTGAAATTGCTAGCTTCCTGAGATTAAAGTACACACTGAAGTTGGTATTGCTAGAGTCCCTAGAAATCTGGCATTGATGCTTCTACATATTTTCAGAAATTAAAAAGATAGATTTTGATTTGAATTGTTTATGCTTACCTAGTTTTTTTAGTGACCATGTTACAACCATCAGAGCACCAATGCTTATTGTTTTCTGCACTTTGAATCTGGTAGTTCATTTTAATTTCAGAACCCCGAATGTATTGTCTGGAATTGAACTTCGCTTGAGAGATCAAGAAAAGAAGAAAGAGAACTGCTGGTGAAGCAGGAATTCTTGCAGGACATGATTAGCGAAAACAAGCTTTTGTGTTCTTTCCTGGAAAAGAAATCAATTGGTCATGTTGTGCTCTGGGAGCCTGACTTGTTACCATCTTCGACTTCTTTACATTCCTGTTCTTCTGGCTCAAAAGCTCCTGAGAAGAAGTCTGAGGATGGTTTCAGAATTGAATCTAGTGAGCGTGGCCCCAAAGATAACAACTCTGATGGCAGTGCACATATGATAGGCGCACAAACTAAATTTACTTCTGGGAATAGCAAATCATCTGACACATATGCTTCCGTGGACAAGGCCAATGCTGATACAGATGATGAGGATGACCTACCTTTTGATTTGAGCATTGATTCTGGTTCATTGACCTGTGTTGCTTGTGGAATTCTTGGCTATCCATTCATGACAATTCTGCAGCCTACCAGAGAAGCATTGGAAGGGATTTCCCTTGCTCATACGAGTAGATACAAGATGAGTTCTGAAAAAGATAATTGTTCAAATACAATTCCTTGCTGTCCTGCTGACAGTAATTTTGGTATGCCTTTCTTAGCTTCCGATTCCGATGTTTTGTTTTTTTGTTTATATATATCGGAGCTAAGGTAGAAATTTCATTGATGCATGTCATTTTATCATATATTTGTTGGTCCCTTGCTGCCCTGCACAGGTAAGCAATTAGCTTACCAGCACACCCACACACTCACTATGGCTAGATGTAGAAGAAGAGGTGAGCACAGCACACACACACTGCCCGAGCTGCAGCAGCAGCTCTGAAACTCTGAATGTGGCAAACTGAACTGCCTTTTCTCTTTGCATTGGCATAGTATATATACATGAGCTAGTACCTCCATCAGGTACAGAGAGGTATGGTGTATACCAACTACCTACTCTTAAGTACTACTAGTACATTGGCTTAGATCAGCCCACTACCAAGACATGGCTGATGTACTTCTACCAACTACAAGTACTAGATGGCCTATTGCCTTACAAGCTACAGCACTAGGGAGGGGACAGCCATGCTGACCAAAATCTAATCCTAATCTGCAGCAAAGAGAGAATTTGGGAGCAGCAGATTATGTCTTACAATTCTTCCCCTAATCATGCTACCAACCCGAAGCCTTGACCTCATCCATGCCAATCATCTTCCTCAGCTCCATGAACCGCAGGCGCCCGAGTGACTTGGTGAGGATGTCAGCGAGCTGTCTGCCGGTCTCGACAAACTCGATGACAATCTGCCCTCCATCGACGCAGTCCCGGAGGAAATGGAACTTGATGTCAATGTGCTTGCTCCGGTCGTGGAGGACAGGGTTCTTGGCGAGGGCGATGGCGGGCTGGTTGTCCACCATCAGAGTTGGCGGGTGAGCTTCCTCACGGTCATTTCAAAGCCAATTTGCAAGCAGCCAGTGGCTAACGCGCCGCCGTGGCGGCTGCGGCGTACGCGACGCCCGCGCCGACGTCGACAAGCCACGATCTTTTTGCTTCGGCCGATCGCCAAGCAATGGGGGCCGCTCCAAGGAAGATGAGCACGCCGGAGGTGCTCCATCGCCCATCAATGTCACCCGCCATGTCCGCATCGCTGAAGACAGTGAGCTCCAGCTCACCTTTCTCTGTTTTGGGGGGTGCTTCAATGAAGACCGTGAGGCGCAACCCACCTTTGCCGCCGAGCTTGGGGAAGATGATCGTTTGATCGAGCGTCCCCTTGAGGTAGCGCAGCAGCCTCTTCACCGCCGTCCAGTGATCTTCGCGTGGGTCCTCCATGAAGCGGTTGACGTACCCGACCGCGAATGCGATGTCCGGCCGAGTGTACGTGAGGTAGCGCAGCCCGCCGACGATGCTCCGGTAGCGCGTCGCGTCCACCTTCGCCGCCTGCTATGCTTGGATAGCTTCAGCCGCTCTTCCATCGGAGTTGCACACGGCTTGCACTCCGCCATGCCGCCGCGCTCCAGCAGCTTCTCCGCGTAGGCGCGCTGACCTAGGGAGATGCTCTGCTTCCCCTGCCTCACCTCGATGCCGAGGTAGTAGGAGAGCGCTCTGAGATCGCTCATCTTGAAACGAGCCGCCATCTCGCGCTTGAAACCGTCGATGTCCTCTGCTCGCGCTCTGGTGACGATTAAGTCATCCACGTACACGCCGACGACGAGCTCCTCCTTCCCCTGTCGCCGCGTGTAGAACGCGTGCTCCGTAGCGCAGCGGGTGAACCCGAGCTCGCCCAAAGTGGCGTCGAGCTTGGCGTTCCACGCCTGCTGGAGACTGCCGAGAGCCAGAGAGCACCTTGCGCAACTGAGCACCTGTGCGCCTTTATGCAGCCTCGAGCACCTTGTGCTCGATACCACTTGTTGGTCCTTGTTGCCCCGCATGTAAGCAATTAGCTTACCAAAGACACCCACACACTCACTACTATGGCTAGAGGTAGAAGAAGAGGTGAGCAAAGACACACACACACACACTGCTCAAGCTGCAGCAGCAGCTCTGAAACTCTGAATGTGGCAAACTGAACTGCCTTTCCTCTTTGCATTGGCATAGTATGTATACATGAGCTAGTACCTCTATCAGGTACAGAGAGGTATGGTGTATACCAACTACCTACTCTTAAGTACTACTAGTACTTTGGCTTAGATCAGCCCACTACCAAGACATGGTTGATGTACTTCTACCAACTACAAGTACTAGATGGCCTATTGCCTTACAAGCTACAGAACTAGGGAGGGGACAACCATGCTGACCAAAATCTAATCCTAGT